AATAAAATAGTATTATATGAAATTTAATGAGTATTTATTGAATAAACCCCAAAGACGAATTATCAATGAAAGTTATAAATGTTCTTTTGAATACTTTTAAGCATTTTCATTAAATTTTGTAAAACTGTTATAATCGTCAATTGTATTGAACGAACAATGACGGTCAATAAACGGTGAAAACTCGGAACAAAAACGACAAAAGTTGTATCTGAATCGGCTCTCAAAATCAGAGACCAAACCGCATTGTTGTTTCTACCCTCCACTCCTTTTTTCCTGCTTGCCATGCCCACTTTTCTCTTCGACTGATTGTTTCGTCCCCGTTCGACTTTCGTTCGCAATGTTTTTCACAGAGGCGTGCGTCCGCCGCTCGTGCGTGAGCCTACGTGACGAGAATTACGCAACGGACGATAATTTCGGTAGACCAGTTCGACGATGATGCAGCAGAAACTGCGGAACTCGCCGCCGCCGCGCGCCTGCCTGAAAAACCCGTTGCGCTTCCCGTTCCCGGAATTCCTGTTCGACGGTCCACGGCATTCTCCCGTTCCTGAATTTAATTAACTCACGGTCCATTTCGTGGATGCGGCCGCGCGGAACGCCCTCGAGGAATCATTGAAGGGAAGATAATGTTTTTACCGGGGCGAAATTGAGAAAACCCGTGGAAGAAAGTTTCGCAGGGGAACGAGCCGCGGGCTCGTCCCTGAATTCCCACTTTAAAACCGAGATTTCGCGGACAGACCTTTCTCGACTCTTCTCGCCTCTTGTGACCGCTTCTTTCTTGTTCCACCACTCGAACCCATCGAGAAATTCGATTAAAGCAACTCGTCGTTTTGCTGTCCTTTAAAGATTTTGATTAAACATATTGGCTGCCTCAAACATTGTAATACAACCGTTAGATGGTGATTCTGCACGCAAAGGAAGGTTGAAAGGATAGCATTTTTTTCAAACTTTCTGCTCGTGTCTGCATTATTAAACTACTAAAAATGTACTGTATTTTTATTAATCAATTTTCCTTAGAAGTTGAGTCTTGAGAATAAAAAAATTTTCTTCATTCTTCGTTTATTTTTGGAAGTATCATCGACCGGATTAAACCCGGATGTTAGAGACACCCCGTATAATGTAGCAAGGATACGAACAGATATTTAAAATCGAATAAAACGTTTTTTTCTACGGGAGATTGGATCAAGTAAAGGACGTCATTCAATTTGCCACTATTATGTCCACCGTTAACGGATTTCGGAACATCGCGCCAGGCGAAGTTCCCAAACCTTTCGGGGCGAATCTTCCGCTTGACTCAATCTTCATGAGTGGATTCAATCCGGCTGCACTACCCGTAATTAATCCGCGTCTTCCAAAAGCGCGTTCCCGCGTTCCCGACGCGGCCGTAACCGCAAATGATTAGAACCACCGTTTCCAGTGGCGTGAACGCGTTCAGCGACGTTAAATCGAAGGATTTGCGGTGTTCTCGGATTTTGCCGCATACGTACATGCATTTTGCAAAAATCTGGCGACTAACGAGCCAAATGAAAGAAAAGTGGGTCGCGCGGTTTACACGTTCCTAATCGATTCGCCACCGTAGCGTACAGATTCCTTTCGGCGGAAACGGAATAACCTCGACCACTATTTGTTTCCACAAAAACCATGCGCGTTTATGTAGACACAGCATTCACTAAGTCGATTTTACTTTGAAGAATGAAAAAAATCTGCGTAAAAATATATGTAAAAATTGTTTTGAATAAAGTTTCTTTAAAATAAAATTTTATTTTATTAAAAATCTTCAATTCTAATGTTTGAGTCAATGTGACTCATTTTAAGCCAAAATAGGTATGTACCCAACATCCGACAATCTAGTGTTAATTAGGCTATTTTATTGAATCGTGTTTCTTACTGCTGCGATTATAAAAGATTTCTAGAGATTTCTATTGGTCACGCAATTAATTCTTATCGTGGTCGATCCTTAACGGCTTAAGGAGACGGTAATGGAAACGGGTAAAGTTTGACTTGAAGTTTAAGATAAAGTTCAACACGGTGTAAGGATATAGAAACTAACGAGAGATAATCCTAATGGCCTATAAGCTCAGATTATATCCAAAAACTTTCAACAATACCTGGTGATTGATATTATACTTGTTACGAGCATCTAATAGAGGATAATTTTTATGATAATAGAACAACCTAATATAATTAGAATATAAATTAATAAGGAATAGTCTAGTGTACATTCCTTTATCAATTATTATTACCCTTGCAAAAGATCCGCTTTCTCTCTTGCTTCGAGCTGAATGACTTGCAAGTTATTTTAGGATTTGGGTCGCTTACGTGAGTCAGCATTTTTGTATCCTTCGATACAGAACATGATAATTTGTAATATAACACTCTTATCACTTTTATACTAAACGAACTACGTACACATGACTGGCTGTTAACTCATCTTATCTTATACATGAGAATTCCATTTTTATTCACGTTCTAAACTTGACAAACATCGTTTTCAATGTGTTCGTTCCTTTCTTACTTGGGATCCAACAGGCGCGGCTAATAGCGATTCTTGTGGGGGTCCTTGGATTCTGTGTGAAGGCTAAGAACTGCATGCCCACTTTCACTTCTCGAGCGGCCGACTTGATTTCTCTGAAAACCGTGATCGTAGGTATCCCACAACGGAATTCCAATATTCCCCCGGTTGAAATAACATCCCTTCCTCTTGAAATATTTCTGGTATCATATGAAATCTCGAATAACCCAAAATGGAATTTCGAATAGCGAGTCCGCCTGGAAAGATAGAAACATGAATAAAGAAACAGATGAGTCGCGAGTATTAGTCGTAACAAAATGAAACCTTGCTTGTCAGCATGACAGTACGTTTTTTCACGATTCGCTACGGACGATAAAAGCAACGTGTTATTATAAGCTTGAGTCACGTATCGTGTAATCTCATTGATAATGTTCTCCTATTTAAAATTCCATTTACGTACCGTTTCAATTGTTTAACTATTAGAAAACTTTTATACTATTTAATAGTAATGCAGAATTTATTTTAATAGCAGAAATATATTTTCGATTAAGACGTGACATTAAAAACTGATAAATTATCAGAAATGGAAACGAAAAATAATATATATATTATCGAGACTAATTGTCTTTTAGAACATTGAAGAAACTCTAATTACATATGTATTACTGTGAAGTCAGTATCTTATCTTCTCCGTTATGCATGCTAAGATAGAGCTTGGCAAAAACGTTACAAACATATTTGCGGAAACGGTTCGTATTCATCGATCATTAAGCATTGTTTGTTAAACTCATGCAGTGGTAATTCTAATAGTTTTTAACGATCTGAACGATGCTCGTAAATGGGGACGGGAGAGGAGAACCGGAAGAAATCGACGTATTCGACGCTCGTAACAGATAGTAATCGGTGAGGCCTGCGCATTGCGCCGCGCTCGCTCGCTCGCTTGAAAAGGAGAGACCGTGCGGCAAATACGACTGGCATTTATAAAGAGACTGGAGGACTAACTCTCTTAGACAGTTCGCAATTATCTCGCGGCAGCGCGCCCTTGGAGAGCACCTAGTTGGATTTGCTTTACGTCCGCACCGGTTATCTGTCACAAATCATTCCTGCTTTCCTCGTGCAAAGTTTTCTGTGTACCCGGTACGATGGAACCTCAGTGCCGATTTCACCGGTTGTGCTTTCAATTGATTCGCGGCTCGTCCGTTCCGGGAAACTCGATGTGATTCCGATTTCGCGACGCGTTCCATTGAATCGTAGGATCTATTTACCCGCGCGTCCTGTGATTAATGATCGGGAATCGACGCCAATATGATGTTCGGTTACACAGTTCTTGAATTAATGCACGGTGGACCGCCGATTGGTAACTCAACGATTTTTACCAAAAATATTCCTACGAATATTTATTTCATTTTTAATAAATTTATATTCATATTTATTAAATGCAATATTTTATTGTTTCAATTTTCGAATTCTTTTGATTTCGATTATACCAGTAGAGAATATATTTAGAAATAGACCACGCAGGAACTGAGTGTAGACTTAATATACCGTAGCGAAGTGGCACAGTTATTGAGTTTCATTAAGTTAACAGGCGCGATGATAAATTCCTCAGCGAAACGGTGGATCGACGTACGGCCTTCATAATGGTACAACGTTCGAACGACTCTGTTCACATCAAAATATTATCACTCGTCATCTTCTTCGCTATTGTCGTAGTAAACAGAGTCGTGCCATCGCTGCCTGCCTGCTTTCGTAATTACTTTCGCGTGCGTGGCCGATCGTAACTACATATTTCATAATTGCTGTACGAGTTACATGAATGATTATACACCACGGAAATTTTAAACATTAATTCATTACGTGCGTCGAAATTATTATGAACAGTATGAGAGAATTGAAAGCCCAACCGGTATTTAATATATTCTTATCGTACGCTGATGATTCATTCGGCGTATGATGAACGCATCGATGAAAAATCGTTGGTTTAATGAATATTGCGTGATCTTAGGTAAGAAAATGCCCATCGATTTTTATCAAGTCCCCGGAAGCGCTCCGTGCCGCGCCGTTGCCTTAGCTTCCGCCGCGCTCGGCGTCGACTTGAACTTCAAGATATGCAATTTGATGGAAGGCGATCACATGAAGCCGGAGTTTCTAAAGGTCCGCTTTTCAATATAACGACTTCCTCGATATTAACTGTAGAATTTCTTCTGAATCGACGATACAATCGTTTTCATTACAGATAAACCCACAACACACTATACCTACGATTGATGACAACGGTTTTCATTTGTGGGAGAGGTATGTCTCTATTATCTTGCAATTCTTTACTTCGAACATGTTTTTCGAGAGAACCTACTACACGCTCGTTCTTTTTCCTATCAGCCGAGCCATTATGACGTACTTAGCAGACCAATATGGCAAGAACGATTCCCTGTACCCCAAGGACCCAAAGAAACGCGCGATCGTTAATCAAAGATTGTACTTCGATGCCCTCACTCTCTACAAAGCTTTCGGTGATTATTACGTAAGTTGATTTGCACTGATAAACTTCCATGTCACGCGCATCGAAAAATATCCCTTATCAGAGACTATATAGTACATCGAATTAATTATCTCGCAGTATGATAGTCACTGATAATTTGATTTCGTGGAAGAATGATTGAAATTATTTTTCAGTATCCAATAGTTTTCTCTAAAGCACCAAAGGATGAGACTAAATACAAAGCGATTGGCGAAGCGTTAGGGTTCCTTGAAAAATTTCTCGAAGGGCAGAATTATGTTGCTGGAAACAACATGACTCTCGCTGATTTAAGCGTGGTAGCCACCCTCTCCACGTTGGAGGTAACGTAATCGACCTGTTAATTTAATGTTCTTGACGAAAAGTTTCTACCGCAATTACTGATAAAAAGTGGACACGGAGTCATTAATCATGAAGTGTAAGAATTTGATCTCTGACCTCGGTGTCAATAATTGATAACTTTTGATAAAGTTCAAGGCCATTTGTTGCTCTCTGATGGCTTTTCGTAATATCCGCATATAAGCAACGCATTAAACGTAGTTAGTACACCGCGATTAGTTTCGTTCATTCACAACTTTGATTACTACTTCCTTTCCATTACAACTCCTCTTATAAAATTAGTTCGAAAGCCGACTCTGAATACGGTCGCGTAACTTCGCCCTCACAGATGGAGCAATATATTTCTATTTCACGTAACATGCTCGCCTCCACGTGATTCACCGACGGGACATGAAACTACATTTGCCACTGTACACCTACATTACTACTTACCCACGTTAATAAAAAAAAAAGTTATAGCTGAAATAACGAACGATAGTTTCGTTCAACGAATGATAGATGTAGTTTAATAATAACCACGCTCACTGAGTACCTTTTTGCAACAGGCGATGGACTACGATTGCAGCAAATTCAAGAACATTTGCAGATGGTATGCTAGGATTAAGTCAGAGGCACCGAAATACGAGGAGTACAACGCAGCTGGTGTGAAAGCATTCAAAGTTTTGGTCAATGAAATGATGAAGAAATAAATAAGAGCATATGTAAATTAGGATCAGTTTCGTGTGAACTATTTCTCTATTTCATTTCAAAGTATTATAGAAATATTATACATTTTTAATGAAGAATTTTTTAATTCTATTTGAAAGTTCAAATGAAAGCTTGAAGAAACAAAAGATAAATATTAAACATTATATTTCTATCGTGAAAAGTATTTATACAACCATTGTATTTATTTATGTATGCAACCGAGTGAATAAATTTTTCTTTATTTTACAAACCTTTTACACGATCATTAAACCTAAATCCATTAAACTTTATAATAAATCGATGGTTACGTATGTGAAAATGCCTTTTGCATCGTGTTTTCCTTTGTGCATCTCAGGGGGTGGAAGAAGTGGCTCGGACCTATTTAAGGTGTAATCAGCATTACCGCGCGCAATTCGGTAAATAGTGCAATCGGCGCTTAATACGAATTAATGAACTTTGTAATTATAGTAGCTGGCTGGTTGTTATTCGCGGTCAATTTACTTCAGCTGTGGCCTTTCTTTTGACTCGATGTTCATTTGCTAATTACCCCCAGCTTTTCATACGTTTTAATTGCAATTTAATATCCGATATCAATCTTCAATCGATGGTTTCGCCAACCAACTTGTGCAATACTCCGTTATTCTAGAATTCTATTATAAACGTAGAACGATTACTTTAGTGCTAATTTCTGTTTCTCTCAATGTTTCGATCGCCTTTCAGAGAAGAACAGTAAAATTTTACATACATTCGGAATTGTTAACAATCAATCCACCTGAGCGTGTATATTGTACTCTCGAGAAATTAAACCAATCAAGCTAGATGCGACTAGTTCGTGCTATTCGACTGTGTAGTTTAGATTGACGTGCGTTATGCAACTTTTACCTCTCGGTTGTATAGAGGGATATAAAAGGAAATTCGATTCAGTATTTTGTTTATTCAGCCAGTTCCTTTTTCAGCGTAAAAACCATTGCGCGTAAATGAAATCGTGGAAATACCTTTAGTATCTGACAAGGGACGGGATTGTTTCTTTTTTAAGCTGTTCCGTTCCCATCGAGCTTTAAAGCTTTAAAGCGACACTCTTCTGCCGGTGATATTGATCACACGCGAAAAGCAAAAATAAAAGTTGATAAAGGCTATAAGCGTAAGGTCGAGCTACATATCTTTTCTACGCGCCGAACAGTCACCACACCCCAGTCGGTTCACCCACGGCGAACAGAACGGCGCCTACTTTGCTTTTTGTCCTTCTCGGGACATTATTCCATTCAATCCTTGCATAAAAGATAATATAATCGTAAGTAATAACTGACATTATAGCACAATTTTAATTCATCATACAATTACGCATTTAAATAATCAAATTATGTTGTGCGTAAATAGACAAAAAATAAATGTCTGTCTATTATAATGAATAGTAAAAGGATTACAATTATCAAAGGCGTCGATTGTTCTTTTCATTTATTATAAGAATTAAGTATAACAGATTGTCCAGCTGATTTCATTGTTCGAAATAATGTCTACATTAAGAGACTCTCCCGAGAACAAGATTTCCAACTTATAATATTTATCGGAGTTTTTATGTTCCACGACTGAATGGATTCGTTTCTTTTCATTGTCCGTACGTGTGCTCGAGTCGTTACGCCGTGTATCGATTGCTCGTTAATGGTGGGCTCACGTAACAGTACGCCGGCACGGAACGTTCGCCGCGTGAGGAATAGTGCTCTATCGATTACGTACGATTGAAAACAAAACTGTGAAAATAGGTTTCGATCCGTCCGAGAGATGAGACACTCATACGCGGCGCGACGAGTTCCCGGGCTACGGGAAACGATCCGAATTTCGGCCAGACATCGCCTCGCTCCATTCATCGCCGGTGCAAATGAATTCACTCCTCCGTTCGCTCTTGTTTTTTCCCCACCTCCTCCCTTCGACTTACCCCTATGGAGATCTCCCGAACGATTTCACCGGAAATCGAATATTCACAGCGTGCCGCGACGTCAAATCGCCCGCGATAACCCTTAGCGCTGTTTAACAACCAAAGTATGTATGTATGTATGTGTGTAGCGATTCGCAATAAATGGGGAGCAAGGTGCACGTGGGGTGGTCCCGTGGCGTGGGACACGTGACACGTATGTGTGTATTTGCGGATATTGATTTAGTCGACGGTATCGATTCCATCGAAAATCGTTGCGAACGAAATCGGTGGTGGCTCAAAAAAAGCGAGACACGTAATGGAATATTTCAATACTATTTACCGGCCGTCTGGAAAGTTTCCTGATCGCTTTGAGGTACTCCACTCTGGGAGACATGTGAATAATTACGCGGATGGACAAAAAAGACTTTCTCCATTTTTTGCAATATTCACCACGCGATTTTTATAGTGTCTCATGTCAAAAGGAAATTCGTAACCAGAATTGATCTATCTGATACCGAAGTTTCCGAAGAACAGCCGTTTTTGTAAATGTGATGATTTTCAGGCAAAAATAAGCTATCGCAGGTTTCCTTATCAGAAATGTTCGTAAAATCCAATATTGGGTAGCAAATTCCTGCTGGATAAAGGGATTTTCACGTAGGTACAAAAGTAGTATGTGTAAAATACTAGCGTCAGGTCTTTTTCAAACTCCAGTTATTTACAACTATTAGAAAGTAAGATTATACGAAAACAAAAAGTGGTTTTTCATAGATATGTTGTGGTAAGTTTCGTCTATCTGTAAGCCGATCTAATATGGACATTCTATTATTAGAAATAGCATGATTCACTCAATTTGCATGACAATATGTCACTCATAATTCAAAAATATAATTATGAATTATATATTAATCGAATTATTGGTTCACTCGTATTTATAATTAATAGACAGTCATGTCGATTGACTTACATTATGCGGCAACGAGTGCGCCCTGCAGAGCGGTTTTATTGACTGCCGAAGCGATCGGTATCTCTCTAAACCTGATGCCAATCAATATGGCCATCGGCGAACGTCTGAAACCAGAAATTATACAGGTCAGCGTAAATTTATTAATATCCGAGCGGGAGCATATTAAAGTCATTATTTCATAAAGAGCCTTATCAAATATTACTGAACGTTGTTGACATTTAACAATAAGTACCCTTTCGTTGCAGATAAATCCACAGAGAACTGTGCCATTCATCGTCGACGGCGATTACAAATTGTCCGAGAGGTTTGTAATTAACGAGTCAAGCGTTGCACGCCATTTACACATTTGCGGCTGCACAATGTCGAGCAACGAGTCCAGTAATTTCGTTCTCTTATCACAGTCGAGCCATCATGTCTTATTTAACCGACCAATATGGCAAGAATCCTCGACTGTATCCTCAAAATCAGATGGCTCGTGCCTTGGTCAATCACCGGCTGCATTTCGACATCGGTACTTTGTATAAAAGCATGAAATATTATTACGTAAGTGTTCGACATAGAGGCGAGCTTTTATAATAGTTGTCTCGAAGAATTTACAAAATTCGGAACGAAATAGAATTGTCAGGGAAACATGAAACGTTTTCAGTATCCAGTCATATTCAATGGGGCGACGGAATACGACGAACAATATTATAAAGAACTCGAACACGCGTTCGATGTTCTGGACATGTTTTTGGATGGACAAGATTATGCTGCTGGTCGTAATTTGACCATCGCTGATCTCTCGTTGGTCGCTACTGTATCAACGATAGAGGTGTGGGAATCTTATCAGGAGAAATAAGAGTTGGTTTACGAATCGAATGGTTGTTACTGGTTGTAGGTTTTCGGTTTCGACGTGCAGAGATACTCGAACGTAGCTAGATGGCTCGAAAAGATAAAATCATCCGCTCCTGGTTATCGTATGGCCAATGGAGAAGGTATACAAATAATAAAGTCGATATTGGAATCTAATACATAATTTATACAGACTTTTAATAATTATAGTTATAGTAAAAAACAATGTCAAAATAAATGCATAATATAAAATGTAAATGTGATAAATGAACTGTAATGAAACAAGCGATGTCTTGTGTTTAATATTTCGTTTATAGCATACTTACTTATTTTGTAAGATAATCAATTTTGTTTAAAAAATTCTGTTTTGTCGACGACAGATTATTGCTTCATTTGCAGTGAATACATCCGTCGGAGAATACTTGTTGGATGGTTTTATATCAACTGAAGGCAATATTATTCTCTGCCAAGAATCCCAAATATTGATTCTCTTGCCGATAGCTAGAGATACAACTTTTGCCTAAACTTCGATGGAACGAAGAAAAAGTTCNAAATATATTCCAAAATAAAGATAAAAAAAGAATGTTTAGTATTGATTGTATCACAATGGATAATAGATATCGATTAGGAGTTGCCCAACGTATGAGAAGGTATCACAGAAGGAAGAGAATCGCGAACATTTCAACAAAAATTGAATAGATTATTTCATGTACATTTTCTTTACTTCAAGTAGTCATGGCGTGTAAATTTTCTTATGGATTTACTAGATCTCGAGACGATTCTCTGAGCAATGTGAAGTACGACAATGCCGTACTTAAAACCTGCAATGAACACAAAAAAAGAGTGAAGATCAGGCGTTACGCTGGCGTGATATGATTTAACATTTTTATTCATTTTAACTTAATGACGACGAATTACCCCCGTATAAGTTTCCAGGGAAACAGGAAAGAATCCGCTGGCTGTTAAGCAGGAGTATCGATTCGTTCTCATGATCATCATCATTACTTTCCGACGCACGTCTTTCCCAGCTTTGTCTATGGGCAGATAGGCCCACGGTGTCCCAATGAAAACTGCATTGCGAACATTGATGCTCTCTTGTATCAAACCATCGCAGCTATAAGTGAACATGTAAAGTTGGCAGAGAACGCCAATCAAGTTTAGGACCAAACTGACGTTCCTCGAGGCTGGTGTATCTATCTGTCATAAATTGATCTTTCAATTATCTTAAATAACGTACAAACAAGATAGATGGTAAGTTTTTAAGAAATTATATTTTTCATCGAACCGGTGAAAATACGAATACTAAATCATATAATTGCACACTAGTTTCATTATACTAACCAGAAATAGTTGGCATCCCACGAGGCATAGTACAATGGCAAGAAACAGCACCTGGCCAAGCACCATCAATGTGAATATGTTTTCCAACTCGTCGCAATACTCAGTAAGTGTTTGATGATACTGTATACAATTTTTCAATTTATTATTAAGAGTGGACGACAGCGTGTTTGTTCCATGCCTGATCTCTTCGTTTAACTTCATCAGTCTGTACTGTAGTATGCGAAATTGACCAGCTACGTGAAGATTCACGATGCATAAGAAACTGTCGAAGCAGATGTAGCATACGCCTATGTGATACACGCAGAGTATCTGTGTGAATAAAAATTAATTCCCTTTTTTCCAATTTGATTCTCTATTATTAAGTAAACGAGATTGTATAGTCACACCTGAACGCTAAAAATCACTTCGAAGTAAGGCGATAATCCTGTAGGAAAATCGACCCACATGTTGAACGGTAACACTCTTTCCGATTGATTTTTCCCAACATTTGCTGAAAATCGAATCGGCGTCTCAACTCTCGGTATCAAAGCATTAATGAAAGATTGTATGGTAAATTTGATTGGGAACTAACTGAACGGGGATGGAAATATTCAGTTGGAATTTTAACACACCTAAAATCGGTGTAACCATGTAACCACAGCAAGTGCCTTGGGCAGAGAAGCTGAGGGTAATGATGAAAATAGCGCAAAGCTTTTTGCAATCATCTATGATTAATTTCTCTTCGAGATTGTAATTCGAGTGCCAGAAGTTCTCTTCCGTGAATCTAACTAAATTATAGAATTCGGTTCTGTGCGCGTATAGAACGCCGATCTTAAATAGGACGATCATCACGTACGATATATTGCAAATTATGTAAACGCAATCCTAAAATTACAGAACACCTGTTTCGTGACGAGTGTACTCGATTGAGTTAAACAAATTTCCTATTTTCTATCCTGGTTTTCCGAATAAATTTCGTTGATTTTAGAATTAACTGTTATTGCAAAAATCTTCTATCTTATTGTTGATGTAAAAGAAAGAAAAATATACTTACACTGAAGTTTCCCCAGGAAAAGTAGATATCTCTGAGCGCAATACCCCCGGCAATAGAAATTGCGTTGATCGTATACATCAGCGCGAAATTTCGACGACGTTGCTCGTCTTCGTCAGCCGGCAGCCACAGACCAACTATTTTCAGGAGGAAGCTCGTCCAGGCTATCGAAATGTCTTTATTAGGTTTCGAACGCATAGCGAACGTTTTCTAGCCAAGGAAGAAGTAATAATGACTATGCGTCGTTTGCAACTATTCTTTAATCAGTATCTATTTCACCGAATGACACGCTGTCTTTGAATGCCTTGACTTGTCGATCTTCTTCGCGTCCATCACGTGTTATCTTTTACCTCAGCAAGAATCGCGTGAAGTGCGAGTGTTCCGCTTTCATTGGGAGGTGCATTATTAATGATTCACAAGCGAAAAACGGGTGCAAGTGACGGCAGCAAAGGACGTAATATCGGACGGTTTGTTGCCTTCTAACCGAATAAGAAATGTGCCCAGTGTTGCACTCGTCGATGGGTGAAAATAAAGGACTTTTACCATCATCGCTGTATATTGATTGAATCATTATCTCATACCAAGAACTGCAACTTGCTGACGGACTTCGAATACCCAGCAGTAACCGTGACTTCTTTAGAGCATCGAACAGCGAATGGGACACCGGAAGCGATTCCTTAACTGCATGCAAGGTAAGTGACTCTCTCATTAACATTAAGTATTAATGATTAAATGAATACGCAGAGTAAAAATATTATATTCTTTCTCAGTCTTTTATATTATATCAAAACATTTTGCTATTTCGGTATATAAAGCTAGAAACATTACGCCTTCGTTGTGTCCACGCTACTCTGTTTTAACAGTGTGAAATACGACATCGCAGTGCTCATAATCTGTAATGTGAAAGTAATACTGCATCATGATTATCGCAGAAATAAAAATATTACATTAGAGAAACGGAATTGTGTGTCGAAATAAAAAAGACGTATAAGAAAAAAGGGGTTTCTGAAAGTAATCTCAATTGATGAAAGGCGTTAATATAATAGCGAAACGTGATTACCTTAGTGTACGTTTCGAGGGATATGGGAAAAAAGCCAGAAGCTGTCAATGAACTGGGTCGTCCCGATCTCATGATTACGAATTCCAAATTCTTTCGTATCATCGCTCCAAACTTGTCCATTGATAAATGAATCCACGGTCCCGCGTACACAGCCGCGGCAATGTTCAAGCTCTCCTGGGTTACGCAGTCACAACTGTACGTGAACATCCACAGCTGAGTCATGTTTGCGGATAAGAAAAGTGCGAAAGAAATGGTCCAGATGAGTGGCAAATCCACCTGTGTGTCAATGTGCGTCGAGCAAAAGATTTGCGAAAGTCTCGCGTATAGAAACATGGTCACTTACAAAAGATACTAACCAGAATCACCTGATATCCAAGAATACAAATGAGAATACTAAACATGAATACTTGTCCTAGTATAATATTTCGGAATATTTCTTCGAGCGTGGCACAGAATTCAATGAGGGCCTTATGTTCCTCGATATAATTTATAAATGAGACGTGACATTGCTTGGATAACTCTGCTGTGGATTTGACATTCAGATTTTTCATGCCTTTTACCATCGGCATGTTGGACATTCTGTATTGTAACACGCGAAACTGTCCGGCCACGTGCAGACACATTACACAGAATATGTTGTCGAAGCAAAGATAAAGCACTGCAATCTGGTACAGAGCCACGGCCTGTACGAATTTAACAAGAATTATTTCTCAGTACTTCGATTTGCTATTAACAGTACGAAATTTTTAATTTTAGTTATACAATTTTTTAAATATTTTTTAAGTGTATTTTCATAATGTCGTTGCCTAAAAGAATTGCAATTTTCGTTAGGAGAAATGACAATACTTGTATCGTGAATGTAATTTCATAGTACGGTGTCATAGACAACGGCAGGTCCAGCCACATGTTAAATATAAGCTCTCTCTCCGATTCGTTCCTTCCGATATTTCCTATAATAAAGTTATTGTAAATGTCCCCGCGCAGTAAGTATTTCTTAGAAGATAAGTCGATCGACTCACCCACAATTGGCCTGAGGCAGTAGCAAAATACTGTAGATTGGCAAAAGAATGTAAAGATGTACACGAAGTATTTGCATAATCGTTCTGTATCCTCCACGATCACGCTCTCCTGCTGATTGTAATTTTCGTGCCAGAAATGTTCTTTCATGTGCGCGATTAATTTGAAGAATTTCTTCTTATGTATAAATAATGTAATCATTTTGAATGCGTCCATGACCAGTGTCAAAATATTGACCCCCATGTAAGTGGCCATCTGGAATATCGTTTACGAAAAAGAAGAACAATCTTTTGATAAAGATGAGAATAAAACTTTGGTGCTCCGAAATTGTATCACTACACTCTTTATATTAACACATCTCGAAAGACAGTTATGCACTCACAGCGAGATTTCCCCAGTAGAAATAGAGACCTCTGGTTTGAACGAACATGAGGAACGTAACTGACAACATGGAAAAGAAAACCATGGCCTCGTTTATCCATCCTTCGACGCGGGTAGTGGTCGACCAATAACCGACGGACTTCAAGAAAAAGATAGCTACGCTAAAAGAAAGCTTGCTACGATGTTTCAAGTTCATACTGAATTTCGAACATATACCCCTATAGATACGAAATTTATAGGAACGGCGAGCTATCAATTATCGAGAAGTATCGGAAGCAATCGATCCGGTGTAGCATGCCTTTGATCTGAAAACGACCCTCTATTCTATATTAATAGCCTGACTCTTAGTAATATTCATGTAATTACTTCTGTTTTTCTTCTAGTAAAAGAGCTAGTACGACAAACGTACAATTTTTATTTAATGTACAATGCCTCTGATACATGAGATCAATGAGCTATGAATCGCTTAGATAACAGTATTATCCAACCGCGGGTGAATAATGAATGCCCGTCGTACGTAGCAGTACAAACGATAAAGCAGTCAATAGAACTATAACTATCTGTCTTCATATTACGTAAAAGAAAGGGAATCTTGTTATAGATGGATTCAAGTCTTATTATAGAGCCAGTGAAAAAATTTAGCTAATAATTACAAAAAATATTAAGTTTCAAGAGGATGTCTTTTATTACTATGAACGTTTGCAACATTTATTCACAAATCAATATACGCAGCATATCAGTCATTGGTTCACAACGATTCCGAGTCCGTGTCCCTTTTGCATCCACGGTAAGCTGTGTTTCATTATAGTGAAATACGTCTGCAATTCGAAAATATCACAGTTTCTGAAATTATACACACGTTAGGAAATTCATCATTAATTATTATAATTTGTAAAGATAATCATATTTACTCTTGTCAGTTAATAAATTTCAGTTAACTTTTAGTTAACAGTTAAGTTTTAAAGTTAAATGCGCAACAGCTGACAAACTTCGAATACTTAGCAGTAAGTATTATCTTTCGAGATCCTCGAATAGCGTGAAACTTATTCTAAAGTAAATACAAGTAATAATGTTATGTGATTCTTCTTTATTTCCTTGAGTGTAAGAATTTGTTACTACGCAATGTACACATTCTTTTTAACCGTAACTATGGTCAGATGCTAAGATTCAATGTGGTGTCAACAATTAAAATTGAGGAAACTGTCTAAAAATAAGACTTTGCAAAAAGTGAAATCCAACGGCAACAACTCGTATCATTGACAAGTCCATTTTGAAATAGGTACCATAAACATTTATTTGTCCACTTCCTTGTCTATTCAGCGATTACGATCCATCTACTATGATTACAATAATTACTTAAATGTCGATGTAATATAAAATGTGCGAAATAAATACCTGTTGAACGCGCGTTTACTTATGCACTCTCCGCCATAGAGGAGTTCCTTATTAGAGTAAAGTATGACATTGTAGAACTGAATAACTGTAACAAGTTACGCGTTCATTATAAAACTTCATTTAAAAGTGTTTGTGATATAAGCAATAAAAATGATTCTAAACTACGAACGAATAATGGATTGTTTAGTCGAAACGCGGCGCGTGAATCGTTTAAAGTGACAGTAAGATGCGTACAGCGGTGGAAGTTTCCATGGTCACCGGAAAGAATCCACCGGCGGTCAGGCGACACGGTCTCGCGGATCTCATCATTATAATCCTCAGATTGTGCCGCAGTCTCACGCCGGTTCTATTCATTGGACAGTTCATCCACCAGCCTGTATACGATACCATGCCGACGTTCCCGCTCTCTTCCATTAAACCGTCGCACATGTACGTGACGATAAGTACGTGGATAGTAGAGCCAACTATTTGAAAAATAGATACCACCTGTATAGCAAAAGGCACCTTCACCTGATACAAACAAATTAACGCAAATTCATGTATTTGATTTGGTTCACTATAAATGGACATGCAACTTAAATTACTTAACGCAGTTCAGTTTGAAAAACATAATACCAGAAGCAACTCGAAAATGTTGAAACACATCATCATGCTGAAAACTATTATGTGAGCGAGAATCGGCAACGCGAAGATACTCTCGAGGTCGTTGCTAAAATCGATCAGCTTTTGATGGTACCGGATACACGTCTTCATCCTCGTGTAATAATCGTGCGTGTAACGGATTTCGTTCGCTTCGTCCTCTTGGGATGGCCACAATTTCAATAGTCTTTGCTGTAGAATGCGGAACTGGCCGATAATGTGTATGTTCAATACACCGCAAATCGTGTCGTTGCCGATATACACGACGCACATTTGACATACGCACATTGCCTGAAGAAACACAACTTTTACACGTAGGAATTATCGAGAGTGATTATGAGTGTTTGAACGCCAGCTGACTTAATCAAGTAAGCTTTTTCACAATGTTCAATGTACGAGTTGACGATACCTGCACAGTGAATGTTAATTCGTAATATGGGGTTTCTGTTAACGGTAAATCGAGCCACATTCTATATGGAAATAGTCTGTCCGACTTATTCCTTCCGATGTTAGCTAAAATGCACGAAATGTTCTTTTAATACCTTTGAACAATATTATTTAATAATAAACTGACGTATTTGATGCGTCCTTTTAAATACTTAACATCACAGGCCACTTGATACATCGAAATTATTAATATAATTATTTAATATATTTTAATTAATAATAACTGCCGATTATTTTACCAATGAGAGGGGCGGATACATAGCCAATGAAAGTAAACTGCGCCACCCAGTACAAGAGATAAGCGTAGTATTTGCTAAGCTTTTGGCATACAAGGAAAATATTTTTTTCTTCTTCGTTGTAATTCTGAAGCCAAATGAGTTTCCGTGCGCTCTGTAATATATCGGCGACAGCTTTTCTCCGAACATTTAAATTGGCGTACTTGATGGATCCAAGAACTATAGCGAGTGCAATAAGACACACGAAAATGCAATGCTGAAACGAAAATAAATTGCTATGTTTAATTAATCACATTAAATATATCTACTGAATAAAGTGACCGATAGTCATAATAGTGTTTCATTCTTAATTAATTCTTTGCTAAAGGTTTATAAAGCTTATTGTGTAACAAGTAATAAGAAAAAATTGATATACTCAATTTAATTTTACTGCTTACCCCTAAATCGCCCCAGCTGTAATAACAATCCGTCATATTCACGTACACGCCGAAGGCAAGTAGTACGTTCGTATACTGAGAAATGAATATTCTTCGATATTCGGCATATTTCCCCGTCTCCATCCAAGCTCCGCACGCTTTTAACAATACCGCCGATATATAAATGGACACATCCTTCATTAGAGGATCCTCCATATCTTTCTCCCCTGATTTTTCAGACGTACGGTGTCTGCTGTACATTATGATAGTGGCATGTAGTTCATGTCAGAAGTGATTTTTAAGTAACGTCCCTTTGATGTTTAGAGGCCCTCAATCTCGCGACAGGTGACATACATCTTTTCTTATCTTATGTAATACTATGACTGACAGACACAAAGACGGAAAGAATAAAAAATAAATGCCTCGAAAATTGTGTGACTGACGTGTGTCGCTTTTTTCCGTCGTGATTCAAGTGAAGTAATGAGAGGGTAGAGGATATATGTCGTATTTTCGACAGCATGAAATATGCGCACCTTGTTGCGTTGGATCGATTGGAGTCAACGGCAAACCACGGGCAGTAGGTGTTCCTCCATGAGATAGCACGATACTAAATTTTTCTTTAAGAATGAATGATTAAACGAGTACACAGAGTAAAAACATTATATTCCTTTTTATTAATTTTCTATATTATATCAGAACATTTCACTGTTTCATTCTATAAAGTTAGGAACTTTACGTCTTCGTTGTGTCCACGCTACTCTGTTTTAACAGTGTGAAATACGACATCGCAGTGCTCATAATCTGTAATGTGAAACTAATACTGCATCATAATTATCGCAGAAATAAAAATATTACATTAGAGAAACGGAACTGTGAGTCGAAATAAAAAAGGCGTATAAAAAAAAAGGAGTTTCTGAAAGTAATCTCAATTGATGAAAGGCGTTAATATAATAGCGAAACGTGATTACCTTAGTGTATGTTTGGAGGGATATGGGAAAGAAGCCAAGAGCTGTGAGTGAACTGGGTCGTCCCGATCTCATGATTACGAATTCCAAATTCTTTCGTATCATCGCTCCAAACTTGTCCATTGATAAATGAATCCACGGTCCCGCGTACACAGCCGCGGCAACGTTCAAGCTCTCCTGGGTTACGCAGTCACAACTGTACGTGAACATCCACAGCTGAATCATGCCCGCGGATAAGAACATCGCGAAAGTAAAGTTCCAGATGAGAGGCAAATCCACCTGTGTGTCAATGTGCGTCGAGCAAAAGATTTGCGAAAGCCTCGCATATAGAAACATGTTCAATTACAAAAGATACTAACCAGAGCTATTTGATACCCAAGAATACAAATTAGTAAGCTAAACAGGGAAACTTGTCCTAGTATAATAATTCGGAATATTCCTTCGAGCGTGGCACAGAATTCAATGAGGGCCTTGTGTTCCTCGATATAATTTATAAGTGAGACGTGACATTGCTTGGATAACTCTGCTGTGGAATTGCCATTGAGATTTTTCATGCCTTTTACCATCGGCATGTTGGACATTCTGTACTGTAACACGCGAAACTGTCCGGCCACGTGCAGACACATTATACAGAATACGTTGTCGAAGCAGAAGTAAAGCATGCCAATCTGGTACAGAGCCACGGCCTGTACGAATTTAACAAGAATTATTTCTCAGTACTTCGATTTGCTATTGACAGTATTAAATTTTTGATTTTAGTTATACAATTTTTTAAATATTCTTTAAGTGTATTTTCATAATGCCTTTGCCTAAAAGATTTGCAATTTTCGTTAGGAGAAATGACAATACTTGTATCGTGAATGTAATTTCAAAGTACGGTGTCATAGACAACGGCAGGTCCAGCCACATGTTAAATATAAGTTCTCTCTCCGATTCGTTCCTTCCGATATTTCCTATAATAAAGTTATTGTAAATGTCCCCGCGCAGTAAGTATTTCTTAGAAGATAAGTCGATCGACTCACCCACAATTGTCCTGAGGCAGTAGCAAAATACTGTAGATTGGCAAAAGAATGTAAAGATGTACACGAAGTATTTGCATAATCGTTCTGTATCCTCCACGATCACGCTCTCCTGCTGATTGTAATTTTCGTGCCAGAAATGTTCTTTCATGTGCGCGATTAATTTGAAGAATTTCTTCTTATGTACAAATAATATAATCATCTTGAATGCGTCGATAACGAGTACCAAGATATTGACCACAATGTAAGTGATCATCTGAAATATTATTTACGGCAAAGAAGAGCAGTATGTTGGTAAAGATGAGAATAAAACTTTGGTGCTCCGACATTGTATCACTACACTCTTTGTATTAACACTTTTCAAAAGACAGTCATGCACTCACAGCGAGATCTCCCCAGTAGAAATAGAGACATCTTGTTTGAACGAACATGAGGAACGTAAGCGACAATGTGGAAAACAGAATCATGACATTTTTTATCCATTCCTCGACGCGGGTAGTGGTCGACCAATAGCCGGCGGACTGCAAGAAAAAGATAGCTACGCTGAAATAAAGCTTGCCACGATGTTTCAAGTTCATACTGAATTTCGAACATATACTCCTATAGATACGAAATTTATAAGAACGGCGAGCTATCATTTATCGGAAGCAATCGATCCGGCGTAACATGCCTTTGATCTGAAGACGACCCTCTATTCTATACTAATAGCCTGACTCTTAGTAGAATAATATCCATGCAGTTACTTCTATTCTTTTTCTAGAAAAAGAGCCAGTACGACAATAGGTGTAATTTTGATTCCATGTACAATGCTTCTGATGCATGTGATCAATGAGTTATGAATCGTTTAGATAACGGTATTATCCACCCGCGGTTGAATAATAAATGCCAGTCGTATATGGCTGTCAACGCAAAAGCAGTCAATAGAACTGTAACTATCTATCTTCATTTTACGTAGAAGAAAGGGAATCTTGTTATAGATGGATTCAAGTCTTATTATAGAGCCAGTGAAAAAATTTAGCTAATAATTACAAAGAATATTATTTATCAAGAGAATGTCTTTTATTATTATGAACGTTTGCAACATTTGTAATAACTGCTCGACATATCTTGTATTGGATGTGTATATAGTGTATTATTATTTCAAAAATCGGACGAAGAATATACGCAGTTTGTCAGTCATTCGTTTAAAACAATCAAATTCCATGTTCTTTTCAAGAAAAAAAAGTACTGTTTCACGTATCTCTTGTAAGAAAAATTATGTATCTTCTACATCCACGGTGCGCTGTTTCATTATAGTGAAATACGACATCGCGGTACTCATAATCTGCAATTTGTAAACATCACAGTTAGTAAAATAATTATAGATTATAATAATAATCATATTTATTCTTGCCGGGTAATAAATTTCATCCATCGAACAATTGAATTATGAAATCGTTAAGTCTATCTGTATAATTCGACACTTGCCTTGGTGTAGGTTTCGAGGGATATAGGTAAGAACCCGCCGGCGGTCAGACTGCAGGGTTGACTGGTTCTCATCATCATGAACAGTAAATCTTTTCGAACCGTTCTTCCAAACTCGTCCATTGACAAGTGTATCCAGGGTGCTGCGTAAATGGCCGTGGCAACGTTCGAACTTTCACGCGTCACGCAGTCGCAACTGTACGTGAATATCCACAGCTGGCACAAAGTCGTCAGTAAATAGCTTACAAAGGACATACGCCATGCGGGATCCATATCCACCTGCGTGCCACGACGTAATACATTGAGTACCTTATAGAAAGTTAAAATTTCATACGTGATGCGATCCTCTTTCACGCAGAATACACACCCCGTTGCATACAAATTCACATGATGTCGCTTTGGAAAATAATTATTTAAAAAAAATCTATATTTTGTAATTTATTAAACAGAATCACTTGAAATGGTAAATAAATATTACTGATGGAAGTATCATAAGGTAGGAGAAGAAAGATATTGGAATATGTAAATACTGACCAGAATCACCTGATACCCGAGAAATGAGATTAATGCGCTGAACACAATCACTTGTCCAAGTATAATGATTCCAAAGATCTCTTCCAGCGTGCTGCAGAACTGGATGAGAGCTTGATGTTGTTGGATGCAACACTTAAGTGCTATGTAACATCGGCGCGAAGTAATCGCGGTTGGATCCCCGTCCTGTGTCATTTTTAAACCTGGCATTTCGGACACTCTGTATTGCAATATACGAAACTGACTAGCCACGTGAAGGCAGAAGATGCAAAACATATTGTCAATGCTTAGGTAACTGACACCCAACTGATACAAAATCAGACTCTGCGTACGATTCCGATAAAAATGATTTCTTATAATCCAGAAATACTTCAATAATTAAAAAACTCGAAATATCATTTATACAAATACCTGTATTACGTATACTATTTCGTAATATGGTGACATGGACAGCGGCAGATCGAGCCACATATTAAATATAAGTGCTCGTTCTGATTCATTTTTACCAATATTTGCTACAATAGAATTAGTTTAATGGGTGTTAAAAAAACGTGAATTGTCTAAAGATGAGCACTAATACTAAATATATATAAAACTTGGCAGACTTACACATAAGTGGACTAATCATGTAGGAAAATGTTGTAGATTGCGAGAAAAACGAGAAGACGCAGACGAAGTAAACTGATATTTGTCTCGCGTTCATTAGTATCAGGTTTTCGTATTTGTCGTACTCGAGGTGCCAGAAATTTTTTCTCATGTACACAATCAAGCTGAAGAACTTTTCTTTATGTACGTATAGGACCGACAATTTAAACAGATCCAAGAGCAGACCCGTAAGACTGCAGAGGGTGCTACCAAAGAGCTAATAGTTCAAATGCATAATACGAACAGTTTACTTCCTAGCAATTTAATAAAACTCGAGATTTTCGTATATTGGGAAAATAGTAAATAAAGTTCATTAGGCGGGCCAGGCGTAAAATTTTTCACACACTTACGCTGATATCTCCCCACAGGAAATACAAGTTTCTGTACTGAATCCATGCTAAGACAATGTGCCCGATTAGCGTGGACGCCATCATCGCGTTTCTGAATAATTCCTCGCCGCGAGTTGATGACATCCAGAAGCCAACTACCTTTAAAAAGTAAACTGTTACACTGAATGAAATGTCTTTGCGGTGTTTCAGACTCATGCTGAATGTCGATGAATCGGACGCATCGATATTGAATTTATAGGAACGACGTGCTATCAATTACTGATAACTGTCGGAAACAATTGGTCGGCATAGCGTGCCTCTGAACCGGAAATTCTTTCTCTGTTATTCGCCTGGTCTTTGCCCGCGATCTGTATTATATTAAACGTACCCTCAGTCGTAGAATTGTTACCGCATATATGGAACGCAACGCATGTAATCATCGATTAATGAATTAGTAATAGGCAACTTTGTACGAGGGTTCAAATAGCATATGGCAGTATAAAAAAATAATAAAAGAACCGCGTAACGTTTTTGCCATTATGGGGGAAAAACAATTTCTTCAAGAACGATTGATTTCAGTCATTCTTTGGTTGCAGTGATAAGCACATCTAAACTTATTTCTGGTGTACGTGCAGGTTTAATATTTTTTCATTTCAAATTAAAAAATTGTGTGCCATAAAATACTAAAATTAAACGCCGTTAGGAATTTTGTAGGTAGTATTTAAAATAGACGAATACATTTTACTGGAAAACTAAGTCTTTTCGTGTTCTTCACATAACAAATGATTTCAACTCACATGTACAGCCTCGCAAGATATAACATCATTAGTCATACTACTTACATATGTATAGTATCATTTCAATCATGTACTGTCTCGGCATTATGTCTTAATAACGTAAAATATGAGAAAGCTGTACTTAAAACCTGTGAAGGCAATAGTTAATTTAGTGCATGGTCATTTATGGTTTTGTGTGTACAGTGAAACGTCAATTATCCGGACGTCTATTTTTGAAGACATTTATCCTGTTATTCGAATAGTGAATCTAGAATAATTTAAAAACGATGATTTTGCATTTTGGCAAAGGAAATTATTATTCAGAAACACTTACAGAATGATCTCTTGTAAGCGAAGTCGAAAGACTAACGGCGTAGGAAGAGGCCTGCCCGATAGAAAACAGATGGCCAAGTCCCGGGCCACATTGTTTGGGCCAGGCCGATAAGGCCACAGCGTATTTCCACCCCTTAAAAAGGACGTTGGGAAAGCGACGAGTCAAAGCAGCGATAGTTCCTTGCGAGCGCCCAGACACGTAACAACGAGCACGTCGTATTTGGAACAATTTCTTGAGATTTAATAAAGTTTATAGCATATCCTTACAC